ATGGCTCCACTGCCACACCCAACATGGCGGCGGAGCCACGCCCAAAATGACGCCCTTGCCACATTCAACATGGCGCCCCCGTGCCACGTCCAATATGGCCGCTGAGCCACGCCCAATATGGCGCCCTGTCGCATCCAATATGGCCGCTAAGCCACGCCCAATATGGCGCAGAAGCCACGTCCAAAACGGCGCAACTGCCACACCTAATATGGCGCCGGGGGCGCTGTCTACCCCGTGATCCCCCGTTTGTACCCTTTTACGTTCTGGTCGCGCAGACACATGGCAGATCCCTTTTCTTACATTATCCTTTCCAATTTTGCTTTGGGCACCTTCGCGGGAAAGGCGTCCACGCCGCAGGGCCCTCCCGCTGCCTCTCCTGCAGCTTGCAGGCTCCTGCTGCCTGCTCACCAGCTGATGCGATGGCGGAGCCCGGCGGCTCCGGCCGGCCGCTGCGGATGGCGAGCGTGCGCACCGCCGCGCACCGTCGTGGCTTCCTCAGCTTCGGCCCCGGGCCCGGGCGCCCGGCCCAGCCCGCACTGCGGGCTCCCTTCCTGCTGGGCTGGAACCCGAGACCCGCCTGCCTCAGCCTCGCCCAGGGCGCTCCACCTCGAATTGCGCACACCGGCCTACGTTTGTTTACTCAGCGGAAGTCTTTGGCCTTCTTGTATTTGCGAAATTGTTCTTTTTTAAAATCTCTCTTTAAAAATACAATCTCAAGGGTCTGGCCAAACAGCTCAGCTGCCTGGGCGAGGTCCTGAGATTCTGTCTAAAAACCAGTTTTTCCCTAGAATTGCCCCTTGATCTCCTTCTCTTGCTTCTATTTAGGGTCACAACGTCTAAAAGTGATCTGGCTTTATGTCCCAACTGTGCTCGCGGCGGCAGGAATTCCCTGCTGCCCTGAGCTCCCCTGGCTCACCCCGGGCTTGGGTTCTTTTGCATTTCGGTTCTTTGAGACGCGGTCTCGCCGTGTGGTCCAGGCCGCCGTGAGCTCACTGTGTAGCCAAGACTGGCCTCGAGCTCCTAGCGATCCTCCTGCCTCAGCCTCCCCGGATCAGGGGCACACGCGGTGGGGATCCTGAGGGCAATGGCGCGGGGCGCCGCCTGGGCCCGGCTCCACGCCGCAGGGACGCTGAGGCAGCGCTGTTGCACGGGGTCGCAGGCTCTGGACAACGACACCCGCTTCTGCTCCTTCCCCAACGCGGTGCTGCACCGCGGGGCCAACTTCACTGTCTATGCTGTGGGCGCCAACGCCACCTTTCAGGAGACCCTGAGCTTCCGCAATGCAGGTGACGCGGGTCCCCCCAGTGGGCAGGTGGGGGGGGCCCGCACCCCACGCTGGTGCTCACGGCCCGGCGCTGCGTCCCAGGCAGGCCCGGGGCCGGGGCCGCCAACCTGTCCTGCGTCATCTACGATGTGCACTCTATGAACTGCAGCTGGGTGCCCGGCCCCGCGGCCCCCAGGGACACGTGCTACCAGCTGTTCTTCTGGTTCAAGCCGTAAGTGGGCACCGTGGGACGGGATGGGGTGGCTGTGCTCGGGAGGCCCCAGCTGACAGCAGGCAGACGGGTGCAGACCCGAGACAGACTGAGCCAAGCTGTACAGTCCAGCGGTGCATCCGTTCATAGAGAAATGGATGAAGAGAATGTGGTGGAATAGTA